TGAAAGTCTAATATTGGAAAAGCTATAAGGAGAAGAACAGGAAGAGTACCGTATTTTTCAGAGTATAAGATGCACCAATTTTCAGCCTCTTTTTTGAGGGAAAAATGTGCATCTTATACTCTGAAAAATACGGTACTCGTCCTGTTCTTCTCCTTATAGCTTTTCCAATATTAGACTTTCACCTGAGAGTTAGGTCTTAGTATAGTATATCCACGGTAGGGTAATTTGAACCTGGTCATTTGTACCTCTTCTGAGAATTCTGATTTGATCTGTTCAATTATCCTTTTGTATCCTTTTCATGGCTGTCCACCAAATTTATAAAAGCTTTCTCCCACATCAACATTCAAAAGCATCAATACTCTTCCTACTCTGGTTCTTTAAAGTCCAATTCCCATTTCCATTGAGTTTTGCAGAGATTATTATTACTTGCAGAAATCTTATCATTGTAGATATTTTTCCAAGGCCTTCATGGCTGTTGTTGCACTTGGTAAATTTTTGACTGCTTGTTCCATTATATTAATAATTGGTTCCAAAAGGCAGAAGCTCTCCACCATTTTGATATTTTCACTGTATATTCAAAGGCTGGCAGTTCTCCTTGTCATTAGTTTACTGTCCTTCATATTTAATTTTAGTTCCATTTTTAAAATGTATTCTTTGACTTTTATTAGTAGATTTCCCATAATAAATATACAGCACATAAGTTAAATTATTCTTTTATTTTGCTTTTCTTTTTTCTTTCTTTGTAAGCCGCCCGGAATCCTCCGGGATTGGGCGGCCTAGAAATTTAACTAATAAATAAATAAAATAAAGTTGAGGACAATGAAGTGTTCTGTGATTCCCATTTTGCTAAGCACATTCTACAGCTTGATGTGATCAACGCAATTGAAGGTGTTTCTGTAATACATAGTGACTTTCATTGGATATTCTATAGATAAAACTTACTTTCAATGGAATTTTATTTTGTCCAAGCTAGTAATTTTCTATAAAAATGCACACTTTTATTAAATTATTTACAAACCTGTGTTTCTTTGCTAATGTTTAAAAATGTTGTTCATACTGTTATTTTTCTGAAGTACGATGTTGGTTTGCTACATGCTGGATATTCTGTATAAACATACTCAAAAACGTATAAAAACCTTAATCGAGAGAAAATGGCAAAATGGTCTGAAAACTGGAAAGTCTTAAACAGTGAAATATAAATATCATTGTTGGCTTTGGTGAAAACTGAATTCTGAAGTTTTTAATCCACTGTTCTTAGAATTCATTCTGCTCTTAAGTTATATCTGACCTGTCCACCTGTAAATGAGCACATATATATTTTTCCTTTTTTATAGAGATGAAAATGAAAGAGGAATAATATCTACAATAAAATCTAAAGGTAAGAATATTATCAGTTGTAGTTACCTAACAAAAGACTTTTTTTTGCTTTCCTTTTCAGCAATAATCTTGCTAGGGCTCATGTAGTCCATGTAGTGGCATCTTGGTTCTAAGTCTGAAAGAAGGAATGAAACCTCAGCATTTTTGCCCTCAAATAAATTTGTGCCCTTATGTCAGTCTTCTTTTGAGGACTATCAGAGCAAGCCCTCTAGTTTTCTTAGCAATATTTTCCGAAAGGGTCTTTTTCTTCTTTTGGGGCCAAAAGAGAATGACTGGCTTAAGGTTACCCAGTTGCCAAGGTGGTACTAGAAAAGCAATCTCCCATACCCTAGCCAGATCCCTTTAATTGCTACATCAAACTAGCTTGTTTACAAAATAAGTTTTTCTTTTGCGACAATGGCTGTTAAAAGAATGTTAAAAGGGGGCTAATAGTTATCTTCATATCTGCGGCATCTGCAGAGGAGTAAATGGGATCATAGTGATGATATAAGTAGCATTGTGATGCAAGCTGTATCCCAGTGATGGCGAACCTATGGCACTCGTGCCCAAAGTGGCACACAGAGCCATGTCACCTGGCACATGCGGTGTTGCCCATTCCTGTTCCAGATTGCTGGCGTGCATGCCCGCACAACAATCAGCTGGCCTTCGTGTGTGCGGCAGTGGCAGAAACTGAAAGAGATGGTCTTCCATTTTCCGACATGAGAATGTGCTGGCCAGCTGATCATTGTGTGTACATGCTTGCCAGTAACCAGAAGACTAGCTGGCGGAAACCAGAAGTTCATTTTCCGGTGCGCGCATGCCCACTGGGCAGCTCCTCTTCCAGGTTGTGGCCCAGATGAGCATGCACATTCCCTTTTCGGCATTCAGTGCCGAAAACGTTTGCCATCACTGCTCTATCCCTTAGGGGACTGGAGGCTAAAACATACGAATAACAGTTGCAGGAATTGGGTATGTCCACTTTAATGAAAAGAACTAGTGGTGCCATGATATCAGTGTTCCAATATCTAAGGAGCTGCCAAAAAGAAGGGGGTCAACCTATTTTTGCAAGCACTTGAAGGCAGAACAAAAAGTAATGGATGGAAACTAATCAAGGAGCAAACCAACCCAGAAGTAAGGAGAAATTTCCTAACAGTTAAAACAATCAGTGGAACGACTTACAGTTTTGGGTGCTCCAACACTGGAGGTTTTAAAGAAGAGATTGGACAACCACTTGTCTGAAATGGTATAGGATTTCCTGCTTGAGCAGGTTGGACTAGAAGACCTCCAAAGACCTTTCCAACTCCGTTATTCTGTTATTCATTTTCTATATGCATTTCCGTACCATCACTACCCCCCTGGCCGGCTTTACACTGCAATCTCCTTTCATCATTTTGATGAAAATAGTGAGAACCTTAAGATGCTGCTGCTTCGTATTTTTGTCTATGACTTCCACACATATTACACATTATATGAAAAACACTTTTTTAATGTAATATACAAAATTAACCTTGGACCATCTATCTCTGTACTGTAAATCCTTAAAGTTAATTTGGATGTGAGCCCTCCAGATGTTGCTGGATTTTCATTATTTTTGACCAGAGGTCTTTATTACTGATGGAGGCCTGAATCCAACATCTGAAGAGCAACAGGTTCCTTGCTCCCTAAGTAGCCATTAATTATAAGGATGATGCTTGAGTCCAGTGATTTCTGCAGCATTTTTAGTGCTACAAAAGCTTTTTTGAAGATAAGCTGCAAAATATATACCATTCACATAGGTATTACCTTAAATATGTTGATTCCAGCTTTTATTTGACTGTTCAAAACATAAAGTGGCCACAGATCATTCACATTTCAGTTTTAACAATTATGGGATTCCTGAAGGTGCAGATCCAGGACTGGAGGATGCAGGTGGCCCTGGGCCCAGATTGTCTTCCTCTATCATAAGCAAAAGAACCTCTTTATCTTCGTCAATCATAATGCGGATACCATTTTTGTATACCAAATTCTAATAGTAGTAATTCCTGATTTTCACTGCCCAAATATTTCTTCCAGTTTCTGCTTCTTCAGGATTAATATATCTAAGTCTGAAGTTCTCTTCTATTTCTAGCTTTTTAAAATCTGTTTTCTCCACTCCTCCATTTTTTTTACCTTCATTTGCTCAAGAAACTTGTTTTCCCTTTCCTCAAAAAAGATGAGCCAGAAAAAAATGTTTCATAAAGGTAAATTGCACATCTCTTAGATGAGGATGACGAAACAGATGAGCCAAGTCCGGTCCATATACCAATGGAAGGAGAACTTCTATGGCTCTGTTTACAGTTAAATAGGGGGTCATACAGTATTTAATATTTGTACTGTTATGTAGTTGTCATTCATTGAAAGCTCTTAACATCCTAAATAATATAAATCATTGATTATGTTGAAATTAAAGGCCTTTTCATTTCTTTCCCCATCTGTTTCCCAATCCAGCTTTTTGGGGAGAGAGTGATGACAGCAATTCTGATATTGAAGAAGCCCTACGCCCCCAGGAACACTGTTCACAAGAAGATGGATTCAGTGATTTCTATGATTAACTTGATACTAATTTACAAAGAAATGATAAAAAGCCAGTAGCAATTTTTCAGGACAAATGTGGTTTCAGGTACGGTCAATTTGGAATGGATATCCGGATGGCATTTTTATGTATCTTACCATAGCCATTTCTTCACACCAAATTATCCTATCAGCCTATTTTCAACTAATGCTTATGAATGATTGTAATGTTCTTCTGAAAGCCAAGCTAAAAGAGCACCAAAACTGCAACAAACAAAACAAGGGAGAGTAATTTTGGAGCTGGAAAATTGTAGGCCTTTAATTTATATATTCCCTCCTATACCTGTTCCTTGATTTAAAGAAGTTTCTTCTTATACTTGAATGGCCATCAGATTAATGGATTCAATTCAGGTCAAAGCAACCATGTTTATTAATGACATTATGGATTTTGCATAAATAAAAAGCAACCGACGAGGTTGGGATCTTGTTTATATGTTTAGCTTTAACCATTCACTACTGTTTACATCAGGAGGAAAGCTTTTAGTTATGAAAATAGTTGCAAAAAGAAAAGCATGATTAAAAGACGATCAGGGCAGAGTGTCACAATGAATGATTGTATGAATAATGGCATTTCTGGCTTAGCTCTATAGCTATTTTTTAGCTATAGAAGTAAAGCATATTATTTCAGAAATCAGATTTGTAAACATGTATCTTACCTTCAGTTTATCATAGACGATGCAAGATATATTTGTTGTCTTTTTATATTCCCAATAAAATGTACTGAAAACTTGGAAGGAACTGTTTTCACAATCTTTTTTTATATTTTGAAATTGATAAAATGATCATTAAATCTTGCACATTGAAACGAACAGGATCTTCACAAAAAAAGTTTTTTAACCCAGCGATTCATTGTAATCATGCAGGACTGGTCATTGATTCACATAAGTTTACAGTCTGGTTTTTTGTCTTGAAGTGTTTTGCAAACATGTCACATTGAGTTATTAAGGCTTCTGTTATTCACCTCCACTGCATGAAATAAAGTAGATACAAGTTATCCTTGACTTATGATCAATTGCTTAGTGACCAAACTTATGACAGGCACTCTAAATACTTATGACCAGGTTCCGAAGTTGCAACTTCTGCCCCCCACCCCACCCATGGTCAGATAACCACATATTAGGTTGTTCCTAACTAATCACAACATATACGCACCATGCCAGTTATTGTCTATGTAACATATAAATCATCAGAAAATAAGATGGCCAAATGAGATATCTGTGCCCTGCAATGCACTCTGCAACGGAGGGATTATATGGAGTTATGTATCCCCCCTTAAATTAAATGAATTTGATTAACTGTTTAATCAAATGGACTGTCCCCACTGTGTGCAATGTCTCCCTGCCCACTACAATCGCATACAAATAATGGAAAGAAAGGACACCATGTTAATTCAATAGTAGGTCTCTACTCCACCAACATCATTCTAGCAAAAAATTCTACAACTCCAGCAAGAGATTACGATACAGATCTTGAGTATGCAAATAAAGTGCTTTGTGACTGAATCGAATTCCTTCAATGAACGCGCAATACAGCATTCTACAATCCGGTTCCATGCCAGATGCGTGGAACCTCCACACCAAAAATTCCGATAATGGGTAAAGAAAGTCGGTTCACTTGCGGGCCGTCGGATTGGCCGAGGGTGCAATCTAGTGGGTTATAACTTCAAATACGGAATTCAATATGTCAAATTCGGATGTATGGAGGGAGCGGTAAGCCAGTGGGTAAAATTAGAAAAAAAAGTTTTTGAACAAGGAAAATGAAGCACAAATAAAATGAGGGATATGCTGGCTTTTTCCTCGAAACGTCCTCCAGCCAATATCCCTCTTGTTTGATTCACTAGTTATCAATGAGTACCCAGCACAGTCCTGCTTACTCTGCCGCCTTTTTCTGCCGCGAAACCGCCCGGCGCCACCAGAAGCCACTCGAAACCGAAACCGCTTATCCCTTCACTTGGAGCAGGGGAGTTGGAGAAGTTACGTCATTGGCGACGTCACCTTACGCGCTGCGCAGTTCCGTCCTTTACCCATCGTGCTAGGTGTGACCCGGTGACCCGGACGTCTTTCGCCGCCGGTTTTGTCACGCAAAGGTCTGCGCGGCCAAGGGTCCGGGCCAACTAATGGGGGTCCCGGCATTTTTCCGGTGGCTGAGCCGCAAATACCCCTCCATCATCGTGTCCTGCACTGAAGAAAAGGTGAGCGAGGAAGGAAGGGCATTTGGCGGGACGAGCGCTGGCGTTGGGTTGCCGCGGCTTTTGAGGCCGCGTTGATTAGGCCGGGGAAAAAAAAAAGGGGGGGGGGCGGAAGAGCTGGTCGATCTCTCCCGACTTGTTATTGCTCTCGCGAGATGTTGTTACGACTGGGGAGTATCATCGCTTCCACTTTCTCGTGGAATTGGTTGTTGGGCTTTGCAAATGGGTGGTTGGGACTTTGTACAGCAGTGGTGGATACCATGTTTTGGGTTTCCGAATTCAAACGAAACAGGCTTTTTCGACTAAATATGGCGCTTTCGGCTGGTTGTATTATGTGCATGTTGGTGAGCTAGGAGATTAAAGGACATTTCGATAAAATGCGATTCATAGAAAACAATGGTTTAGATTGATGTTTACCTTTATTGAACCTGGTTCAGTTTGGTAAAGCCAATTCTCTAAATAGAATGGATAGCTGAGTTAGGTACATGTACTACTTAATTTTTTGCACACGTGCACGTACTGTATATAAATAATTAGCTTCTTCTACACACTTGCTTCATATCCGTCAAGCATATTAATAAAATGCTGCTGCTTAAGGTGCTACACTGTAAACTTCCCAGGTTAAACCTGTTATGAAACAATCTTATTCTTTGTTCGTTCTTTCACAAAAGCCTGGCACAATAATTAGTAATAAACCAGTAGTAAAATTAGCGCTGGAAGGAACCATTTATGTCATCCAGCCCACTTCTCTACTCTCCACTGCTTATCTGACCTTATTGTTAGAATGTTTTTGTTAGTGTGTAATTGAAATCTGATTTAAAGCTATTTTTCCAGATTGTGTAATCTGTGGCAATATAGAAGGAGTACTGTTTTGTATTTGAAGAGTATTGTCATGTTTTTCTCAATAATGATTTTTTCAAGGCTTAACGGAGTTCTTTCAGTCTTTTCAGATAGAATTTATTTCATAGTCTGATCATTGTTACTGGTCTTTGTATCTATCCTAATTTCTTAGAATCTTTAAAGTGTTAATCCCAGAATGATATTCGGTATACAGGGGCAACAGTGAGACCGTTGGTATGATTTAAAAAATATGCTGATGTTGATACAATCTAAAAATGAATTTATCTTCTTTATGTTGGTGGTTAATTCATTCAATTTGAAAACAGACTATGAAAGAAATCCTATCTGAAAAGATTGAAAGAACTGTTAAGCCTTGAAAAAAATCACTTGAGAAAAACATGATAGCACTCTTCAAGTACAAAACAAGTATACCCCTTCCATACTGCCACAGATTACAGAACGGGAAAATAGCTTTAAGTCAGATTTCAATTACACACTAAAAAAAAAACATTCTAACAATAAGGTCACAAAAGCTGATCACATGACCCTGGGACATTGCAGCCATCATAAATATGAACTAGTTGCCAAACATCTGACTTTTGATCATGTGACCACGGGGATGCTGCAATGGTCATGTGAAAAACAGTCATAAGTCACTTTTTTCAGGGCTGTTGTACCATAACTTTCAACAGCCACTAAATGAACTGTTGTAAGGTGAGGACTACCTGTATTAAATTAATATCAGTCATTTTGTATAAATTGGTTTACAAATTGGAGCATACTGTAAATACTGCAGAGATTTTAATGTAAGAACAGTGGTAATACACATGAATGACTGAAGCTTATAGTCGCTTTACATCTTGACATAAGAATTTCAAAGTCATATGCTGCTATTATATATGAAAATATCATAATGAACTTGATTGGTGAATAAAACATGAAAATCCCACAAACAAGATAGAAGATTCAGCATGACAGAAATAATTCTGTCCCCATCAAGAAAGTCAAATATGTATAGGTATCCATAGGGAAGGCAATGGAGAGGCAAAGGATATGTCCATCTTGATGTCATAGCACAGATGATGCAATTTATGCTTGCATCAAACATGATGATGATGATGATGATGATGATGATATGGCATAGAAGTGCATAATTTCTATGAAGATATCATGATATGTTTTCAAAATCATTGCTTGATATTTGTGCCAGTATGTTACTTTAAAAATCATGCAAACTTGAGGTTTAATAGCTTACTCTTATTAAGAAAAACCAGACTTGTACAAATATATGAGTAGGAATTGGTGCAGCTGTCTTTCACTTGCTTGATTTTGTTTTTAGGATTTACAGATTTACTTTAGCTGATTTCAAGTAATGTCCAACTTCGCAGTATATAACTGGGATTAAAACCAAAAAAATGTCGAGTAGTTGTAAATAGGGGCTTGTCCTGTCAGTATTGGTGGGAGTGTTCTTAATAGTTCCTCGATTAGGGTGTTCTTTACTGTCATTTGCCTGAATTGGTAGTTCCTTGACTGGGTTATTGTTTACTACTTAATTGTTGGTCTAATATTAATCTTGGTGTGAATCTCTGCTTATCTGGGTGTTGATTGCTGTCAAGGGGTTGTTTTGGTCTTTCTGTTTCCTATTTGGCTTTTTTGATTGCCTCTTGAATGATAGATGTCATTTATCTCTATGTGCCTGTTGATGGTCATTTGTCTGAGTACCAGGCTTCCAGCAGTTCTCTAGCATTTTTGGACTTGACTTGGTGTAGGATGCTTAGTTTCCCACTTGAAACTATGGTTAAGTCTGTCCATATGTTGTGAGATTAAGGAGTTTTCAAAATGTCTTCAGATTGCTACTTGGTTTCATGCATGCACATGTGCTAGTCTTTTGCCTGTTTATCCTATGTAGTGATTGTTACAGCCATTATACTGAATGTTGTAAGTGACTTCTTG